GGGTCTTGAACCCGCGGGCTCAGGCAATCCACTCACCTCAGCCTCCCAAAGGCGCGGGATTACAGGCTGAGCCACCGAGCCTGGCTTCAGGCTGTTCTTAAACCCGTGGGCTCAGGCAATCTGCTCACCTTGGCTTCCCAAAGTGCTGGGATTACAGGTGTGAGCCACCATGCCTGACATTAATTTGAAAGAAATCCTAAAGACAGCACTCTCTCCTGGACCCATGGGAAGGGCTGTAGCTGGGTTTCCTTACATCGAGCCTTAGTCCACCATGGCCCGAGTGTAGCCCAGCCCGTGCACCTGGACAGCACCCAGCTCTCCTGCAAATTCATCAGCGACCACCTCTGGAGCCTGGTGGACACCACATGGTAGCAGGGCCTTGTGGCCATGTTGTGCCCATGGAGGGAATCCCCAGGGTGGGATCATTGTAAAGTGATGTGTTCATGCACAGCTGGGATGTTGTTGTTTTTTTTTAAACTAAACATTATTTGTAGGGCAACCCCTTTGGGTCCCCTCCCATTATGGGAGCTTTTCTGTCCTCTTAATAAATCCTGTTTTCTCAAAATAAAATATAAGAAAAGAAAAAATTATTTGTAGATATGGGGGTCTTGCTATGTTGTCAAGGCTGATAAACTCCTGGCCTTGAGTGATCCTCCTGCCTCAGCCTCCCAAAGTGCTGGGATTACAGGTGTGAGCCACTGCACCCGACTGGGTTTTTTATTTTTATTTTTTGAGTCAAAGTCTCATTGTGTTGCCCTGGCTGGAGTGCAGTTGCACACCATGGCCACCACAGCCTCGACCTGCTGGGCTCAGGCGATCCTTCTGCCTCAGCCCTCCAAGTAGCTGGAACTACAGTCACGTGCCACCATGCCCAGCTAACTTTTTTTTTTTTTAGTTGGGAGTCTCACTCCATTGCCCAGGCACATTCACAGCCACCCCAGCGTCAACCTGCTAGGCTCAGGCAATTGATCCTTCCGCCTCAACCTTCCAAGTAGCTGGAACTACAAGTGCATGCTACCATGCCCAGCTAACTTTGACTTATTGTAGAGGTGAGGTCTCACCAAGTTGCTCAGGCTGTTCTTGAACCCGTGGGCTCAGGCAATCTCCTCACCTTTTCCTCCCAAAGTGCTGTGATTACAGGCTTAAGCTACCGTGCCCGGCCAATTTTAAAAAAATTCATTGTAGAGATGAAGTCTTGCTAAGTTACCAGGCTAGTCTTGAACCCATAGGCTCACTTCAGTCTCCCAAAGTGTTGGGATTATAGGTGTAAGCCACTGTGCCTGCCTGGATTTTCTTTCTTTTAAACTGGATTATTTTATTTTATTTTTGAGTTGGATCTCATTCTGTCGCCCAGACTGGAGTGCAGTGACACACTCCCGGCCACTGCAGCTTCAACCTACTGGGCTCTGGCGATCCTTCTGCCTCAGCCTTCCAAGTAGCCAGAACTACAGGCATGCACTACCACGCCTGGCTAGTTTTTGATTTATTGTAGAGACGAGGTCTCGCCAAGTTGCCTGGGCAGGTCTCGAACCCGTGGGCTCAGGCAATCTACTCGGCTTGGCCTCCCAAAGTGCTGGAATTACAGGCTGAGCCACCAAACCCGGCTTGGATTATTTTTTCCCCAGTTCAGCCTTAGATCCCGAACTGGTCTCAGCCAGGTCACCCTAGGGAACTAGATTCACTGTGCCAGGCTGATGGTTTCATTCCATGACAGCATTGCACCTGTGACTCTGTTGTATTCAGTGACTGAGCCCAGGTAATTATCAGCTTTGAGTCAAGGTCAGCCCTTTTCTGTTAATTCAGGGAGTGTCTGAGTACCACGCTGTGCCCAGGACTGTGCTAGGGCCACAGGTGCCAGTGATGAGGACACCTGCTGATGGAGGAATCCACACAGAAGCAGCCTCCACTCTAGAGCCAGGGAGAGGTCTGGATGGTGGCGGAACCTGGTCTGAGAGAGGGCCAGCTTCCTGGAGAACGAGGAGTGGCTCCTTCGGAGGTGTGTCATGGGACATCCCTTCTTTTTTTTCTTTGAATTGGAGTCTTGCTCTGTCGCCTAGGCTGGAGTGTAGTGGCATGCTCATGGCCACCGCAGCCTTGACCTCCTGGGCTCAGAAGATCCTCCAGCCTCAGCCTCCACGCCCAGCTAATGTGGGTATCCCTTCTGAGAATCTCTACAACCGTGAAAAAGAAGGGTCGTGTGTGGAGGAGACAGGATGCCTGTGGTGGCTTGCAAGTTCAGCAAGGGATGGGCCGTGTGTCGAGGGTGACCTGAGGACAGCAGCCCAGGCCTAGATGCCCGCCCTGTGCTTTGTAGGAGACGTGGGCCATGCAGCCAGTCCACGCTCTGGTTTTCCTTTGGGGATCCACAGCTCGTCTCCCACTCAGAGCCCATCCCCGCTCCAGGTGCCTGTGTGTGGACACCACGTGCTGCCTCCTCATCACCTATTCCCCCGCCCAATGAAGGACCCTTTTAGCTGCCTCATGAAAACACATTTCCCAGCCTCCCCTGTAGTGAAGTTCAGGACAATGAAATGTATGTTGGAAGTGAATGCAAGTTCTAGAAGGATCCTTCAGGTCAAGCACACAAGTGTCCCCTCTTTCGCCCTTCCTGTCCCTGGAATTTGGGTGGGAGCCCTGGCAGCCACAGTGCCACACACAAGGAGGGGAGCCATCCTCTGGGGAGGACAGGAGCCGGGGTCCCTGGTGACAGCAGAGCCAGACATCAGTACAAACGTCTTAGGATGCGGGGGCGGAACCAGCCTGCACTTATGAGCTGTTGTTATCTGGGGTTTTCTACAACAAATAGCCAAATGAACACTACCTGATTCAGCATGCCACCAACCCGGGGCGGGGGGCGGACCTCAGAGGCCCCCTGGACAGTTTTGCCAGGAGCCAGTAGTCCTGTGAGTCACACCAACTTGGGCTTGGGTTTCATCCTGTTCTTTTCCTACAATGGAATTGTTTATAAGTGCAGTTATTGGTTTCTCTTTTTCTCAAGTCGGGGTCTCTGTCAACCAGGCTGGAGTGTGGTGGCACAGTCATGGCTCACCACAGCCTCAATGTCCTAGACTTAGGTGTTTTTCATCTCAGCCTCCAAAGCAGCTGGGATTGCAAGTGTACTACCACACCTGGCTAATTTTTTTATTTTTGTAGAGACGAGGTCTTGCTATGTTGCCCAGGCTGGTCTCGAACTCCTGGGTTCAAGCCATCCTCCTGCCTTGGCCTCCCAAGTAGCTGGGACTGCAAGTGCATGCCACCATGCCTGGCTAATTTTTTTTGGTAGAGATGGGATCTCACTACATTCCCCAGGCTGGTCTCGAACTCCTGAGCGCAAGCGGTCCTCCTGCCTCGGCCTCCCAAAGTGCTGGGATGACAGGCAAGAGCCCCTCGCCCTTGACCCGGTTACAGGTTTCTAATTTGAGGTGGCTGCAGGGAGCCGGGGTGGTGAGTGTCCCAGCATCGGAGCCCACCAGGTGGGCCCTGTGGGCCGCTCAGGTGCCCCTTGAAGGTCCTGAGGCCCAGAAGCCACCTGTTGGCCTCCAAGGAGATCAGCCCAGAAAAGGAGGTCAACATCTGTCCCCAGAATGTCGGGAGCCCCAGTGCCCTGGGCTTGCAAGTTCTCAGAGGACTTGAGGGGCCTGGTGTTTGGGCTGGCTTCGTGTTTTTGACTGGCAGGTTTTCCACATGACTGGAGAGGAACCCTCCTTGCACCTGTGGACCCCAGAGGGCAAGGCCTGGTCCGGGGAGTTTTCTCCAGGGACCTCGGGCCAGGTGGCTTGTGTGATGGGCATCCTCCTTGACTCCAGAGGACATTAGTGTCCCTGCCTCCCCCTCCAAATGCCAGCAGTGCCCCTCAGCTGACAGCAGAAAATGTCCCCAGCTGCCACTGGTGTCCCCTGGAGAGAAGGGAGTCACAACTGCCCACCTGCCCTGACGTGGGCTTGTTGGACATCAGCCCTGGAGACGGCCGATGGCTGTGTCACCTCGTGGCTACTCCTGCCAACACGGGGACAGGATGCAGGAGCTGACAGGCCTGGCCCTCACCAAGTCCTGGTGTGGGAGGGCAGGGGTCTTCCCTCGGGTTCTGCAGATCCTCAGAGTGCCAGGAAAAAGCCAGTGGTGGGTGGGGACTTTCAAGGTAAGGGCTCGGGTGCCCAGGCCGCCTGCCCTGTGGCTGCTCTCCCAAGGGGCTGTGCCCTGCTCCTTGGTGACACTCTCCCCCCCACCACCTCCCTTCCCCCCCTCCACAGCCTGTGCCTCGGCTTCCCCAAGGTGAAGACCATCCCATGGGGCTGGGCCAGGCCAGCGGGGTGTGCCCCATCCCCCGTGGGCCCAGGACTGGCCACTGGAGCCGGAGTGGGTGAGGCCGAGGCCAGCAGCCTGGAGGGTGGGGGCGGCGCCTGGTCTCGAGGGGGCTCTGCGTGCCGGGTCCCTGACTCACTGCCCGCGCTGGCTCAGTGCCTGGGACAGCCTGAGGCCCTCGGCCTCCCGCCGAGCCCCACCCCGCCTCACTGGTTCCCCTCTGAGCTGCCCAGCGGTCACTGGCTTCTTCCCTCCTGAGGCTGCGGAGAGCCCACCCCAGCCGCGCGGAGGCAGGAGGGAGTCCCCTGGTCCGGACTTGGCACCGTGCTGCGCCGGTCCGCTCTCGCGGCCGGGCCTCTGGCGCTCCCCCGGGTTTACTCCAATGTGGACCGTGGCGCCGCGTCACGCCTGCAGTCCGGCGCTGTGGACGGCCGAGGCGGCAGGACCGCAGGCTGCCAGGACAGGCCGGG